AACACTAACTGTGCTGATTGAATGCATTTCTTGACTCGCAGCTTGCGAGAAATGGGAAAATATTGCCGAAAGAATATGACTTTTTCGTGGAAACTAGACATTTTCCCACAAAAAGACAAGTTTTTTTTCTCTTTAAAAGACATATTTAGATAGAGCGCAAAAAACTGCACCTATCTGTATCATTTTTAGAGGGCGACACGGTATTCTGACGAAGTGGTATGGCTTCAAACAAAACCATCTATCTTTTTTATCGCGAATTTTTGCCCTGCATCCGATCTTAAAAATTGTTTTATGCATTCAGATGCTGTCATTTTTACACTATTAGATAGAGAATAGTTGATTACCTATTGGAGATATGTTTTCAAAGATCTGGAACACGAAATTAAGAGAAAACAGACCCCAAAACTATCGGAAACCTTAAATTTTGGCCTAGGACTGAAATCATAAAAAATTTCGTGTTCTGACTTGTTAAAAGATTTTAGACAAAAATCTACACTCATATTCGTGATCAGCACTATCGACTCTATATTGTGGCATGTATTTGACCAAAGAAAAAAAAAATTTTTTTTCCAGGTGTGCCGTAGGGGGGTACAGGTGCAAAAATTTTTGATGTCGTACTATGGTGAAAAAATATGCCTATGTTGTAGTCCATGATCGACTTATTATGACCATGTAGTTTTTTTCCAAAAATTTTTTGGGGAGAAAAATGCCCTTATCGTCCCATGTCCTTTTCAAATTATGTTCAGACACAAATGCTTGTGTATATATTCGGTTGGATGCGACTGCAGCAAAAGCACAATCTACTAAAAGATTATCATAAACATAGATTTGTTCGATGAAAGGGCTTCGAGTCGAAATAACTAATTTTTGGAAGATTTTTTTCTATTCTCCAACTATATGCTATTGTTTTATGTTCGACTGCTTGATCAAGATTATAAATTTTTGATTCATTATTTGCATATGATGGTGTAACTAACTCTCTTGTTTCAAACTATTCTAAATCTGATATGAACAATTATTTTCAAAAGAATCAATCAAATTTTCTCTTGCTTCTAATGATGCCCACATTAATGGATTTACAGCATTTTGAGAAATATTTTTCGCTCTATATTTCGTATATTCGGATTGTATTCTAATTCATCAAAACATTTCATCATATGTATATGTTCTTGATAAGCACTTAACATTAAATTAGTATAATTTTCATCTCGAACAAGTCATATATCAACACCATTCGTACAATTAAATAACGAGCAATAACAAGATCACTTTCATTTTCTTTTTTTTTTATTGATATATAAACAAGATATTACAACTGAATAAAGAAGAAATTTTATTTACAATACAACAAAGGAAAATAAGGGTGAAAATTTTCTGAATATATCATTGGTGGTGAATCAAAGATAATACGTGTTAATTTTGAACAATTAACACGAGCAGCATTATTTGTAAAATACCCTGTTACGATCTCCAAATCTATATATTTGATATATAATGTGCTAAGACAAGGTAAACATGCGTTGAAGTCGAAAAGCAATTGTTTCACATAATCGATATCACACATTGAAAGATCAAGTATCATAAGATGAGAAAACTTAATAATCGAAGATATTTGTTTATGTTCATCGTGTTGATGTGTTAATTTCTTCTCTTGTTCATTTTCATTAACTATTGTCAATTTATTTAATAATGGAAAAGCTTGAGAGATTCGGACAAAGAAATCATATTCAAATGGACGAAATAAATCATCCGCCACTAAGTGACGAACAGTCATGAATAAACCACCAGGAAATTTTCTACTATGCGTATCAATACGTTCCATAGTGAATGGAAGTGAGTAAATATGACATTGACCCATGCTAAATTTAGTATAGTCAGTATAACAGTTCACATTATATCCTCTTTGGATGAGTGCACGTCCAATATCATCAGGTTTTGGCAAAAGTTCTTCGTGCGGTGTGCAAATTTCAGTGATGATATTGAAGATAAAGGGATGTAGATATGACATTTTACTAAGGATATGATTAACTAGATGATTTCCATCAATGAATGAAATTCGATCACGAACAATAAGAGATAACGTAAGTTTTTCTAATTGTGACATTTGACGAAGCAATGGTACAATTTGATTATCATAGTTGCATGTTCGACGATATGAAGTCAACGAGAAACATTTTAGATTAGATAGGATTCTCTACAAAAAAAAATTAGAATAAATATTAAATGATATCAAACTGATAATTCAAACAAGTGTAGATCTAATGGAGATCCAAATCGTTTTTTAGGAACATTCTATACACATAGAGTATCCTATAATAAATTGTTAATCATATTTTTCATACTTTTTATTGACATATAGACCTGAAATTTTTATCATACATATATCTAATCAAGACCTTCTATTTCTGAAAGTTTCAGCTCTCTAACCAAAACTAGGGGTAAAATACATCGACAAGACTGAAATACATAACTTTTCGTATTCAATTTTTATAGATTTTTACTATGAAACTATTGCAAAAATCATGACGAAAATTGATGTATTTCATCACTAACTTTCGCTAGAGAGCTGAAACTTTCAGAAATAAAAGATCTTGATTAGATATATGTATGATAAAAATTTCAGCTCTATATAGACAATGTGCCTAAAGCGAACGGACGTTTCATAGGTCTTCATTGTGACTGTGATATCTCTATCATTTTTCGTCATAAAATAATTATTTTTATATCACGGGAAAGAAAACAAAATTCTGCATCTGCTCATATAAAAAAAAATTTTGTAGCTATAAGAATTGTTGAGTAATCAGCGGTAGAAAATTAAAAATTAAAAACGTTCGCTTTATGTGCGATGTTCCTAAAGCGAACGTTCAGCAAGAAAATGTCCTTAAAGCGAACGCGCCAGCAAAAAACAAGCGAAAATAAAAAGAGTACAATATTTATCTATTTCTGTTCACAGATTTCAATGAAATTTTATGAAATTTATATCATTCGATTCGTCATCTTTAACTCTATCATTCTCTAGCGGTTCAGCTTAATCGAGCTTAATTTTATTTTTTTATTCCATTTATAAAAAAAAACTTTTCGTTCGCTTTATGTGCATTACACATAAAGCGAACGCCCAGCAAGAAAATGTACATAAAGCGAACGCGCCAGCTATTTTAGCTGGAGATCAAGCATCTTTTAGTATTTCGTTCATTTGCCATAGACAAACTTCAAAATTCACTTAAACTTCTGCTGGCAAATCTCTTCAGAAATGTTACGGCTACAACATACTAGCGGTTCAATTCGAAAATACGAAAAATAGTTTTGAAAAGATACATTTTCTGTGATTTTTGTTAATTTATAAAAGGACCTGTTGAAAAGAATAAAAAAATTAATGATATTTATCATTCTTCAATATATCGGAAAAAAAATTATGTCATGAGAATCAGCATTAAATTCTGATCATAATTCACTATATTATTCTTTGCGCATGTGAAAAAAAAATTTTTCAAAAAAAACATCTCACCGTGGTCCCCCACGGGAACTTGAAAAATTTTTTTT